AGTCCTTCCTTCCTTCCCTCCTTCCTTCCTTTCCTCTCTCCCTCCTCCCTCCCTCCTTCCTTCCTTCCCTCCTTCCTTCCTTTCCTCTCTCCCTCCTCCCTCCCTCCTTCCTTCCTTCCCTCCTTCCTTCCTTTCCTCTCTCCCTCCTCCCTCCCTCCTTCCTTCCTTCCCTCCTTCCTTCCTTTCCTCTCTCCCTCCTCCCTCCCTCCTTCCTTCCTTCCCTCCTTCCTTCCTTTCCTCTCTCCCTCCTCCCTCCCTCCTTCCTTCCTTCCCTCCTTCCTTCCTTTCCTCTCTCCCTCCTCCCTCCCTCCTTCCTTCCTTCCCTCCTTCCTTCCTTTCCTCTCTCCCTCCTCCCTCCCTCCTTCCTTCCTTCCCTCCTTCCTTCCTTTCCTCTCTCCCTCCTCCCTCCCTCCTTCCTTCCTTCCCTCCTTCCTTCCTTTCCTCTCTCCCTCCTCCCTCCCTCCTTCCTTCCTTCCCTCCTTCCTTCCTTTCCTCTCTCCCTCCTCCCTCCCTCCTTCCTTCCTTCCCTCCTTCCTTCCTTTCCTCTCTCCCTCCTCCCTCCCTCCTTCCTTCCTTCCCTCCTTCCTTCCTTTCCTCTCTCCCTCCTCCCTCCCTCCTTCCTTCCTTCCCTCCTTCCTTCCTTTCCTCTCTCCCTCCTCCCTCCCTCCTTCCTTCCTTCCCTCCTTCCTTCCTTTCCTCTCTCCCTCCTCCCTCCCTCCTTCCTTCCTTCCCTCCTTCCTTCCTTTCCTCTCTCCCTCCTCCCTCCCTCCTTCCTTCCTTCCCTCCTTCCTTCCTTTCCTCTCTCCCTCCTCCCTCCCTCCTTCCTTCCTTCCCTCCTTCCTTCCTTTCCTCTCTCCCTCCTCCCTCCCTCCTTCCTTCCTTCCCTCCTTCCTTCCTTTCCTCTCTCCCTCCTCCCTCCCTCCTTCCTTCCTTCCCTCCTTCCTTCCTTTCCTCTCTCCCTCCTCCCTCCCTCCTTCCTTCCTTCCCTCCTTCCTTCCTTTCCTCTCTCCCTCCTCCCTCCCTCCTTCCTTCCTTCCCTCCTTCCTTCCTTTCCTCTCTCCCTCCTCCCTCCCTCCTTCCTTCCTTCCCTCCTTCCTTCCTTTCCTCTCTCCCTCCTCCCTCCCTCCTTCCTTCCTTCCCTCCTTCCTTCCTTTCCTCTCTCCTTCCTTCCTTCCCCCTCCTCCTTCCTACCTTCCTTCGCATTTCTACAATATCCTTCTTTGAATTACTGGCTCAGGCTGGCTGCTGCAAGTCCTGCCACAGAAGCCTCGGGACCTCAAGGGCAAGTTTTGATGATGACATGCAATTATTCTGAGATTATTTTAAACCTTGAGATTATTTTAAACTTCTAAATTTTTTACTTTTATCTGGAGACTGCTGACCTTGATTTCCTCCTCTCTTACCGCAAGGGCCTGAAAACCTGGCTCTTCGAAAAGGCCTTCAACTAGTGCTACGTTTTTTTTTGGAATGACCACCGGAATGTACTATGACTATGAGATTGATTATGACCCCAAACTAGACGAATGCGGATTTTTAGTTTAATTAGTTGTTGTATTAGTAAGATGTTATGTTATACACCGCCACGAGTCGCCCTTGGGCTGAGAGTGGCGGTTAACAAGTGCAAATAATAAATAAATAAATAAATTAATTAATTACTGAAGATTGTTCTGGTGCAGTTAATACAGCTTTAAAGGCTTTAGATGCTGTTTGGAACTGTTTGGAAAACACCTAAGCTGCCTTTGGAAGTGCTGATAAATTAAACTTTTATCACAATGGTTTACACAAGAAACAATTATAAGGAGAAAGCTTTACCTCTACACGGACAAACACTAGCAACTGGGAAGATACAGCTAGCTGTTAAGTCTGTTGAGACCGAAGAGAGGAGGCTTTCTGCACAAGAGAGGAGACAAAGTCAAACAAAAATGACTAATTTTTTCCCTCTGGAAAGATTGCACCAGAGACAGTTGGCGAACTCTGTGGAGGGCCCAAGGATTGCAAGGGTGGGCAATATTGCCATGACTGCTGAAGAGATGAAGGACTGGCCGATTGACACCAAAGGGCTATTATTGAAGGAGAGTAATATTATGGACTCAGGTGGTGGGAGAAGCTTGGCTGAGGAACTGGCACAAGCTGAGATGGAGAGTTCTGAGGCTATTGCAACACAAAACTGGAGCTTGGACCCAAAGCCAGGAAAGCCCCCAACCTTATCTCCAGAAGAGGGTCACTTTAATTCTCACACACCAAAGAATCTCTTACAACAGTATCCCTACCTTGACTTGCAACAAGGAGAAGATTCAAACGAGGGCTGTTCGCACCTGGAAGCTAAGTTTGCTGCCTTCTCTAATGATTTGCTGATAATTAAGAATTACCTACAGGAAAGTACTGGGCTCCTGAGTACTCTAGCAAAAATAATTAAAGCGGAAGTCTTGGAGAGCCGGTGCAACGGTGATTCTATTAAGGCAATATCGGCTGTCAACACTCTAGATACAACCAGGCAGGACACAACTATCTTATGCTGTAGTGATAAAAGAACAAAACAGACAAAAGCAGATAAAAGCAAGCATCTTAAAGTCAACTGTAAGAGCCAGAAAAAAATAATCATGAACAGCAAAAGTGAGATGAAACAAAAGACAGCATGCAAACAAATAAAAAGTTCCAGAAATCATAAACGCGGCTTAAAGAAACTCCTAGCTCTAATTCCATCTTCAAAAACCTTGGTAACAAGAAGGAGGAGGAGGAAAAAAAGTTTCCCAAAGCCGAGTCACAGTGCTACCAATGATGGCAAAGTGGATAGAACCATGGTGACAAATCCTGGACCCCAGAAGATTAACATAACAACACAAACTTATTGGGAATCTCAGGTGACCAATATGACAGGAGAGAAAGATGGTAGGAACCCAAAAAAGGTAGAAGCAATAGATGGACCTAATCTGCCAACAGTAAAACAACAAAACTGTAGACAAAAGATTAATGGACATTATAAGGACAATTGTAACTTGGTCCTTATGCCAAACAAGCTGGTGATTATAAACGTTCCTAAACCAGGAAAGATTTTAAGTTTAGAAGATCAGAAAAATCATGTGATAGGACTTTTGAATAATGTTCTACCAGGGGGGTTGTACACAACGGACATAGACCAGATTGATTACTTACACAATGACTCAATGCATGTTGATGCCATAGTCTCCTTTATCGACCCAAATATAGCCAAATTTGTCATAAGAGCTAGAGACCTATTAATATGCCCTCTACTCACCAAGTGGCCAGGAAGATCCCTAAGTTGGTACTGCACTTATTTACTGTCTGATCTTGATAAAAGGGTAACGGAACAGGTGGCCAAATTTCTGTTTGCAGCGGCAAAAAGCCGCAAGTGCTTCATGAATAACCTGTAAAGGCTGAGTGTAACAAAGAGTACTCGGGAGACTTATTATTAACTTGCAATCAGTTCCTGTTTTAGATCATATAGACAGCCATTCATCCGATAGCGAATGGTGACACTTGTTTTTATTAATTATAAGCCAAATGTGATGTTATTAATTGTTAATTGTTGTATTTCATTGTTCTACTTTCACTTGACTTGGCCGATGGTTTGTTGACCGAAAGGTCTACCTTCCTTCCTTCCTTCCTTTCCTCTCTCCTTCCTTCCTTCCCCCTCCTCCTTCCTTCCTTCCTTCCTTCCCTCTCCCTCCTCCCTCCCTCCTTCCTTTCCTCTCTCCTTCCTTCCTTCCTTCCCCCTCCTCCTTCCTTCCTTTCCTCTCTCCCTCCCTCCTTCCTTTCCTCTCTCCTTCCTTCCTTCCTTCCCCCTCCTCCTTCCTTCCTTCCTTCCTTTCCTCTCTCCCTCCTCCCTCCCTCCTTTCCTCTCCTTCCTTCCTTCCCCTCCTCCTTCCTTCCTTCCTTCCTCTTCCCTCTCCTCCTTCCTTTCCTCTCTCCTTCCTTCCTTCCCCCTCCTCCTTCCTTCCTTCCTTTCCTCTCTCCCTCCTCCCTCCCTCCTTCCTTTCCTCTCTCCTTCCTTCCTTCCTTCCCCCTCCTCCTTCCTTCCTTTCCTCTCTCCCTCCTCCCTCCCTCCTTCCTTTCCTCCTCCTTCCTTCCTCTCCTTCCTTCCTTCCTTCCCCCTCCTCCTTCCTTCCTTCCTTCCTTCCTTCCTTCCTTTCCTCCCTCCCTCCCTCCCTCCCTCCCTCCCTCCTTCCTTCCTCCTTCCTTCCTTCCTTCCTTCCTTCCTTCCTTCCTTCCTTCCTTCCTTCCTTCCTTCCTTCCTTCCTTCCCTCCTTCCTTCCTTCCTTCCTTCCTTCCTCCTCGGCCTCCCACTCCCTATCAGGAGGAGCGCTGTGCCTTTAAAAGGCGGAGAACTCCTCGGTCACGCCCTCCTTGGACCCCCAAAGGGGTTGGCATCGGGGAAGGAGGGAGAACGAGGAGGGGGCATGGCTGTGGGCGGGGCTTGGGAGAAACAAGGAGGAGGAGGGCGTAGCATTGTGCCTTTAAAAGGCGGAGAACTCCTCAGTCCCTCCCTCTTTGGGCCAAAAGGAGCGGGGCTTGGTGTTGTGGCAAGCGAGAAGGAGGAGGGGGGCGGGAGGAGAAGGGGGCGGAGCACTGTACCTTTAAAAGGCGGAGAACTCTTCATCCCCTCCTCCTTTGGGCCAAAAGGGGCGGAGCTTAGCGTTGGGGTAAGCGAGGAGGAGGAGGGGGCGGGAGGAGAGCTGTGCCTCCTCGTCCTCCCACTCCCTATCAGGAGGAGAGCTGTTCCTTTAAAAGGCGGAGAACTCTTCGGCCACGCCCTCAGAACTCCTCAGCCCCTCCCTCTTTGGGCCAAAAGGGGCGGGGCTTGGCGTTGAGGGAAGAAGAAGAGGAGGAGGTAGGCGGGAGGAGAGTTGTGCCTTTAAAAGGCGGAGAACTCCTCAGCCCCTCCCTCTTTGGGCCAAAGGGGCGGGGCTTAGCGTTGAGGGGGCGGAGCGCTGTTCCTTTAAAAGGCGGCGAGGACCACAAGGGGCGTGGCTTGGGGCTGAGGGAGGGAGTGTGTGAGTCGGAGAGGAAGGGTCTTCCATGGCGGCGGCGGCGGCGGCGCTGTCCTCGTCGTGCGTGGCGTGTTGCGCCCCTCCGGGCTGAGGGGAGGATGCTCTGGGGGGCCGATGGAGGAGCGCGGGCAGCGGGTGGCGGCGCTGGCGGCGCTGCTGCTGCTCTTCGCGGGGCTGGTGCTGCAGTACCTGTGCCCGGGGGGCGGGCAGTGCCGGCGCCGCCGCGGAGGAGGCGGAAGAGGGGCAGGCGGCGGAGGAGAAAGCCCTGCGGAGGAGGAGGCCGCTAGAGGAGACCCCTACGGGCCCGAGGACGCCTCCCCGGCCCGCTTCGTCCCGCGCCGCCGCTTCCGCGCCGCCGAGCTGCTCCGCCGCGCCGACTTCCGCCTGGAGGGCGACGACCTGATGGTCTTCCTCCACATCCAGAAGACGGGCGGCACCACCTTCGGGAGGCACCTGGTGCGCAACCTGCGCCTCCCCCGGCCCTGCCGGTGCCGCGCCGGGCAGAAGAAGTGCGCCTGCCTCCGGCCCGGACGCCCCGAGCCCTGGCTCTTCTCCCGATTCTCCACCGGGTGGAGCTGCGGACTCCACGCAGACTGGACCGAGCTCAACACCTGCCTCCCGGGGCTCCTGCCCGCCGGCGCCGCCCCCGACAACCCCAACCCGGCAGCAGGAGGAGGAACCGCGACCGCTCCCAGGTCGGCCCCCAGCAGCCCTCGCATCCCTTTCTCCCCGCTCTCCTCTTCCCAATCCTCTCTCTCGCTTCCTTCTATCTCCCTTTCCTTTCCATCCTTCATTCCCTTGTCCTTCTTTTCTTCTCTTCCCATTCCCTCTCTTCCCTTTCTCCCCTTCCTTTTGCCCTCCTCTCCATCCTTTCTTTCCTTTTCTTGTCTCTCTCTCCTCCCATCTCTCCTTTCCGTGCCTCCTTCTCCTTTCCATCCCTCATCCCCTCGCTTTCCATCCCATCTCCCCTTTCCTTCCTTCCCCTTTCCTCCCTCTCCCTCTCCATCCCTCTTCCTTTTCTTGTCTCTCTCTCCTCCCATCTCTCCTTTCCATGCCTCCTTCTCCTTTCCATCCCTCATTCCCTTGTCCTTCTTTTCTTCTCTTCCCATTCCCTCTCTTCCCTTTCTCCCCTTCCTTTTGCCCTCCTCTCCATCCTTCTTTCTTTCCTTCTCTCGTCTTCTCATCCCCTCACTTTCCTTCCCATCTGGTCCTCTGTCTCCCTCTCCATCCCTCTTCCTTTTCTTTTCTCTCTCTCCTCCCTTCTTTCCATCCCTCCCTCTCTCTTCCTTCTGTCTCCCTTTCCTTTCCATCCCTCATTCCCTTGTCCTTCTTTTCTTTCTTCTCCCTCTCCTTCTCTTCCCTTTCCTCCCCTTCTCCCCTTCCTTTTGCCCTCCTCTCCATCCTTCTTTCTTTCCTTCTCTCGTCTTCTCATCCCCTCACTTTCCTTCCCATCTGGTCCTCTGTCTCCCTCTCCATCCCTCTTCCTTTTCTTTTCTCTCTCTCCTCCCTTCTTTCCATCCCTCCCTCTCCCTTCCTTCTGTCTCCCTTTCCTTTCCATCCTTCATTCTCTTGTCCTTTTCTTCTCTTCCCACCCCCTTTCTTCCCTCTCGTTCTGCCCTCCTCGCCACCCCTCTCTCCTCTTTCTTTCCTTCTCTTCTCATCCCCTCGCTTTCCTTCTCCCTTTCTTTCCTTCTATCTGGTCCTCCCTCTCCATCCCTCTTCCTTTTCTTGTCTCGCTTCCCATCCTTTCCATCCCTCCCTCTCCCTTCCTTCTGTCTCCCTTTCCTTTCTTTCATCTCCTCTCCATCCTTCATTACCTTTCCCTTCTCTTTCTTTCCTTCTCTTCCCAACCCCCTCTCTCTTCCTCCTGTCTCCCTTTCCTTTCCATCCTTCATTCCCTCTCCCTTGTCCTTCTTTTCTTCTCTCCTCTTCCCATTCCCTCTCTTCCCTTTCTTCCCCCATTCTCCCCTTCTTTTTGCCCTCCTCTCCATCCTTCTTTCTTTCCTTCTCTCCTCATCCCCTCACCTTCCTTCCCATCTCCCCTCCCTTCCTTCCATCTGGTCCTCTCTCTCCCTCTCCATCCCTCTTCCTTCATTCCCTTGTCCTTCTTTTCTTCTCTTCCCATCTCCTCTCTTCCCTTTCTTTCCCTTCTCCCCTTCCTTTTGCCCTCCTCTCCATCCCTCTCTCTCTTTCTTTCTTTCTTCTCTCGTCTTCTCATCCCCTTGCTTTCCTTCCCATCTCCCCTTCGTTTCTTCCATCTGGTCCTCTCTCTTCCCCTCCATCCCTCTTCCTATAATTTTTCTCTCTCTCTTTCCTTTTCTCCTTTCCATCCCTCTCTCTTCCTTCTGTCTCCCTTTCCTTTCTTTCCTTCTCTCCTCTTCCCTTTCCCTTTTCCTTCTCTCCTCTTCCCATCCCTCCCTCTCTCTTCCTCCTGTCTCCCTTTCCTTTCTCTCCTCCCCTTCTCCCCTTCCTCTTGCCCTCCTCTCCATCCTTCTTTCTTTCCTTCTCTTCTCATCCCCTCGCTTTCCTTCCCATCTCTCCTTCCTTCCATCTGGTCCTCTCTCTCCCTCTCCATCCCTCTCTCTTTTCTTTTATCTCTCTCCTCCCTTCTTTCCATCCCTCCCTGTCCCTTCCTCCTGTCTCCCCCTCCTTTCCATCCTTCATTCCCTTGTCCTTCTTTTCTTCTCTTCCCATCCCCTCTTTTCCCTTTCTTCCCTCCCCTTCCTTTTGCCCTCCTCTCCATCCCTCTCTTCCCTTTCTTTCTTTCCTTCTCTTCTCTTCTCATCCCCTCGCTTTCCTTCCCATCTCCTCTTCTTTCCTTCCACCTGGTCCTCTCTTTCTCTCTCTCCATCCCTCTTCCTTTTCTTTTTTTCTTCTCTCCTTTCCATCCCTCCCTCTTCCTTCTGTCTCTCGTTCCTGTCTTTCCTTTCCATCCTTCATTCCCTCTCCCTTCTCTTTCTTTCTTTCTCTTCTCTTCCCATCCCCCTTTCTTCATTTTCTTCCTGTACTTCCCTTCTCCTCTTCCTTCCATCCATCTCCATCTCCCTTCCTTTTCTTTCCTTCCTTCTCTTCCCAACCCTCTCTCTTACCTTCCTTCTGTCACCCTTTCCTGTCTTTTCTCTCCATCCTTCATTGCCTCTCCCTTCTCTTTCTTTCTCTCCTCTCTTCCTTTTCTTCCTCTCTTTCTTTCCCCCCTTCCTTTCTCCACTTCCTTCCTTCCATCTGGTCCTCACGCTCTCCCTCTCCATCCCTCTCCCTTCTCTTTCTTTCCTCCCTTCTCTCGTCTTCCCATCCCTCTCTATTATCGTCCTTCTGTCTCTTTTTCCTATCTTTCTTTCCCATCCTCTTCTCTTCCCACCCATCCCCTTTCCTCTTCTTCCTGTCTTTCCTTTCCTTCTACACTTCCTTCCTTCCATCTGTTCCTCTCCCTCTCCACCCCCTCCCTTCTCTTTCTTTTCTCCCTTCTTTCTTCTTCCCATCCCTCTCTTATCTTCTTTCTGTCTCCCTTTCCTATCTTTCCTTTCCACCCTTTGTTCCCTCTCCCTTCTCTTTCTTTCCTTCTCTCCTATTCTCATCCATCGCTCTTCTCTTTCTTCTTCCCCTTCTCCCCTTCCTTCCCTCTTCCTTTTTTCTTTCCTCCCTTCTCTTCCCATCCCTCTCTCTGCCTTCCTTCTTCCTTCCTTCCTTCCTTTCCTTTCTCTTTCCTTTCCTTCTTTCCTTCCCTACCCTCACCTTTTCTTCTCCTCTTTCTTCCCCCTTCCCCTTTTACCTTCTTTCTGCCCTTTCCACCTTTTCTCTCTCTTCCTTTTCTTTTTTTCCTATCTCTTTCCTATCCTCTTTCTCTCTCTTGCTCTTCCTTCCTTCTCTCGCTCTTTACTTCCTTCCTGCTTTCTTCCTATCTGTCCCTTCTTTCTCTTTCCTTCCATTCTCCCCTCTCTTCCTTTTCTTGTTTTCTTCCCTTCCTTTCCTCTTAACCTTCTTTCTGTTGTGTTTCACGCTGCTCCTCTCTCTGCCTTTTCTTTTTCCTCTTCTTTCTTGTACCTTCTTTCCACTATCTTTCCCTCTCACTCCCTTTTCTTTTTTATTTCTTTTTATTTCCTCTCTTCTTCTTTCCCTCCTTTCATCCTTCCTTCTCTCTTCCTTTCCTTTCTTCCCTCACTACCTTATTTCCTTCTCACCCTCCTTTTTCTTTTCCTCTCTCATTCTTTTCTTCCTTCCTTCCTTCTTTTCTTCCCCCCTCCCTCTCTTCCTTCCTTTTCTCTCAACTTTTTCTCCTTCCTTTCCTTTCCTTTTTCCTCCTTTTCTTCCTCTTTTCTTACCTTCTTTCTATCTTCCATCCATCTTCTCCTTTCTTCATTCTCATCTTCCTTTTTTCTTCTCCTTCTCTCTTCCCCCCTCTATTTCTTTCCTTCCTATCTTTTGCTCTTCCTTCTTTCATCCTTCCTTCTTCCCTTCCTTTGTCTCCTTCCATTTCCTTTACTTTGGGAGTCTTTGAGCCTGGATTGGGACCTATGGAAAGAAAGAATATGTGTCAGGATGTAGCATCTTTGTTTTTCATTCGCTGCTCCCTCCTTCTTCCTCTCCTCTTTTTCCTACTCATCCCATTCAAAAGAAAACCACTCAATATTGGAAATCATATAGAAAAAACGGGGGGATCCTCCACTCTTTGCTGTTTCTGCAACTCTGCAAACCACGATCTATCTAGTTTCCAAAACATTCTTCCATTGCAAAGCAAAATATTGTTTTCGTGGGGCATTTAGTCTTCCCTCTGTTCCAACGCAAGCTGTGTTTGTTGCAAATGTCTTCTTGTTTGGATGTGCTGCACTTTGTGCAGTCACAGTTCTGATCCCCCCCCCCCATCTTCCATTTTCCCCTATGAGAGGCATTAACAATCACAAATCTGAAATATTCAAAAGAGTTGTTGTTTTCAAAAGAGAATATTGCTCCTTTTGTGTTGCTAGGTAGCATTTTCTGTATTGTTTTCAAAATGAAGCATTCACATTTATGCCTATTAAATAGACAGACTGGTTTTAACATTGCAAAATGGTAACTACAAACTTCCCACCTCTCCTTTCCTCTTCCTTTCCTTTCTCTTCCTTCCTTCCTTTCTCTCTTTCCTTTCCCCTTCCTTCCTTTTCTAATTCCTTCCTTCTCTCCCTTTCTTTTCCTTTCCCCTTCCTTCTTTCCTCTCTCTTTCCTTTTCTACCTCTCCCCCTTCCTTACTCTCTCTCTCTTTCTTTTCTTTTCCTTTCCTCTTCCTTCTTTCTTCTCCTTTCCTTCCTCTCTCCCTTCCTTCCTTCTCTCACTCCTTCCTCCCTCTCTCCCTTTCTTTTCCTTTCTCCTTTCTCCTTTCCTCTCTCTTTCATATCCTACCTCTCTCCCTTCCTTCCTCCCTCACTTGTCTTCCCTCTCCCTTTCTTTTCCTTTCTCCTTTCCTCTCTCTTTCATTTCCTACCTCTCTCCCTTCCCTCCCTCCCTCCCTCCTCCCTTCCTCTCTCCCTTTCTTTTCCTTTCCCCTTCCTTCTTTCCTCTCTCTTTCCTTCCCTTCCTCTCTCCCTTCCTTCCCTCACTCTTTCCTTCATCTCTCTTTCTTTTCCTTTCTCGTTCCTTCTTTACTCTCTCTTTCATATCCTACCTCTCTTCCTTCCTTCCTCTCTCCCTTTCTTTTCCTTTCCCCTTCCTTCTTTCCTCTCTC